CCAGCCTGGGACAAAAAGGCTGTGCTACATATCAGAAAGGTGGGAATCCCTTTGTCTCTAAGGGAGCAAGTCAGTCATGGAAGAAGGCCTTGTTTATAGTACTTCCAGATTAATGAGGATCCACAAAAATGTTTATTCAGGAGAGGGACATAATTAAATCAATGTTGTAAAAAGACAAGTCTGGCTGAAGAAGGAAAAAGAGACTACAGGGGGCAAATAAAAATGAGGGTAGCCTAGTAAGAAGGCAATTGTTTTTATTCAGGCAAGAGATGATGACAGAGAAGAAGAAAGAGATTAATTCAGAAGGGATTTAGGAGGTAAATCCAATAGGGGCTGCTAGGGCAAGATATGCGTGTGAAACTATGCCCCCAAATAGTTAAAGAAACCAGTTACTAACAGAAATTCTTGAGTTTACAGGATAGCAGGTAAGCAAAAAACACCTTGCTGAAGTGCTGAAACTTCTTCCATTTGTAAGATGACAAAACTGACTAAAATCCATTGGAACCAACATGGCCAACTGGAGATTGTTCAGAATCAGCTTGCTGAGGTCACAGCCTGAATTTCTAGCACACATTTCATAAGAATGTCCCAGAGTTTTGCACATGGGAGCCATGAAGAGGCATGGAGAGATAACTGTAAATGCCCAAGGACTTTCTAGGCCTCCCCTTTCCTTCCACCAATCACGTACTAATCCCAGAATCCACCCCCTAAACTTTTTCTAATAAAACTGCCCCCTTGAAGTCAGCTAGATTTGAGCTGGACTCCTGTCTTGCTGTTAGTCAACTTGCAATAAAACAGCTTTTCTTTTCTCAAATGCCTGGTGTCACAGTATTGGCTTCTAGCACATCAGGCAGCGAGCCCCTTTTACTCGGTAACAAGTGGTTAAGTGAGGGTAAAGAACATGAGTCCCTTCCTGGTTTGACAAACGTGAAGATGATGGTACCAAATAACCATCATCCCAGGCATGGTGTGGGAGAAGATAAGGTTTATGAGTGCAGATCTGGAATTCAAACTTTAATATTTAAGGTATACTAATGGGCCAGGCACAGTGGCTCACACCTGTAATCCCAACACTTTGGGAGGTGGGTGGATCACTTGAGGTCAGGAGTTCGAGATCAGCCTGATCAACATGGTGAAACCCTGTCTCTACTAAAAATACAAAAATTAGCTTGGCGTGGTGGTGGGCACCTGTAGTCCCAGCTACTCAGGAGGCTAAGGCAGGAGAATCCCTTGAATCCAGAGGCAGAGGTTGCAGTGAGCTGAGGTCATGCCATTGCACTCCAGCCCGGGCAACAAGAGCAAAACTCCATCTCAAAAAAGAAAATTTTAAAAGTATATTAATGAAGATGTCAAGATGATTGCAGGATATACAGGTCTGCATTGTGAGCCCAAGATTACTCAGCTCCTAGGAGGTGGATTCAGGATTTTAACCTCAATTATATCTGGTGTCAAAGCTGGCATCCTTGGGCATTGACCCATGAGTACAATACCCTCCAAGGAACTTAGAGTCTAATGAAAAGTGAAAAGATTCCCCAATGTAGGGGAAGGGGAGGATGATGGAGGCTGGAGGAATGTTCCTGTCTAGTTCCAAGCAGGGCTATGGATGGGAATTCCTTTGTAGAATTCATCATTTCAGAACAATGGCATAGGATGATGACATCACAAGGAGACGGGGAGTCTTGACATCTCAGAGAGAATGTGCCAGCCTGGTTCTGCTTTCTTTTCCTAGAGGGTCTAACACCTCTCCTGGCCCTGACTTTTAGGTGGTCCCTGTGGAGAAGGCACAAGTCATGAGGAAACAATGAAGAAATAACTATGGCAGCCAGTGCCTGCCTATGGACACTTGGACATTAAAGGGTCACCAGCTGAGTGTGGGCTGAGAGTCTCTGAACATAACCTTTGTGCTTAGGGAGAACCCATTCCAGAGCTGAGAAAGAATGATGCCAACATGCTGCTTCCTCCCTTTTTCTGGGAGCATTTCTTCTGCCCCTCCAGTCCCATCCCTAAGAGATGGTCCCAGGTCCAGCCCAAGCAGGAGAGGCAGCCCTCACCTTCCCAGGTGTCTGTAGGCATGTTACTCTCCCTCCTGGAGAGTGTTCCCCACAGCTCTGCCTTCCCTGCAGGCCCCCTCCATCCTCTAAAGCACAAATCATCACCACCTCCACAACTCGAATATTTTCTTCAGGCACACCTCTGCAGAAAGGAAAAAGGAAGCAGTTCCTAGTATTGTATGGAGGGACCCACAGAAAAGCTCAGCACAGACAGCCGATATTGCATCAGGGCTTGTTTTTTTCCTCTAACAACTCTGGAGTGGAAGAAAGGGCATCCATTGTAAAGTCCGACTCTCATCATCAAGAGGGTGAGGCTATAGACATCCTGCCTCTTTATTAAGCTGTGCAGCTCTGAGAGGCCTAGACATTGAGCTCGTGCAGGAGCTAGACCCACACCTGCCTGTCATGAGGTTGTGGGCTTGGTCTAGCCTATGTGTGTGTCTAAGGCTCCTAGATAGGCAAAGTTCATTAAGTTGGTGAGAACCTGTGAGATGGGATGAAACTCGGGAAGGAGTACAAGCCTGTGGGTGTCAAGCCTCCCAGCCCCAGCAATGCTAAACATTTCCAGCAGTAACTTCTTAGCTTGAAGCAAGCTTGTCTCTTCAATTTTATAATCACAAAGGAAAAAGTGTCCCAGTCCCCTGGCCCTTCCTCTCATCACAATCCCCTTCCTCTGACATCACAGAGGCAAGAACTGTCCTCTCTGCTCAGAGCACTGAGTCCAGGGCCTCTCCAGGACAGATTCAGGCAGAGCAAGCTCCAGGTTTCACCGCAATGCCCATCCCTGCCTCCCCACTCCACTCACCTCTGCCTTCCTTACTGCTGTCCCTGCTGCTCAAACTGGCAGGTGAGTGGGAGTGGTGAGTTCCAGCAGTAACTCAGAGGTGTGTGTATAGTCGGGTCTCCTCCCTACCTGTTTAGTGTAACTCTCCCTCACCTGTTCCCATAGAATTTCTTTTGGGAGAGTTTTCTCCATCTTATCCCAGAGCAGGCAGAATTCAGAAGACTACACTGGGATGTCCCCCAATTCTGAAAAAATCTCCCAGTGGCCATGTCTGTTGCATATTTCTTTGTTCAGGTAAAGGGCTCACACCTATTGTCGAAGGGCTGGGCACAGCACCCACCACGGCTCTCACCCTCCAGCCTCTGGAATCAAAGGATCTGTCATTTGTTTTACTTTATTTTTATTTATATATTTTTTTGAGATAGCATCTCACTCTGTCACCCAGGCTGGAGTATAGTGGTGCGATCTTGGCTCACTGCAACCTCTGCCTCCTGGGCTCAAGTGATTCTCGTGCCTCTGCCTCCCAAGCACCTGGGACTACAGGCACACGCCACCATGCCTGGCTAATTTTTGTCTTTGTTGTAGAGATGGGTTTCACTGTGCTGCCCAGGCTAGTCTCAAACCCCTAAGCTCAAGAGTTCCACCTGCCTTAGCCTCCCAAAGTGCTGGGATTATAGGCATGAGCCACTGTGCCTGGTCCCTGGCAGTTTTTACACTTTCTGTGAAGCTCAATTTCTTATTTCTCTGTTTCCTCTGTATAGATTCCTGTGGCTACTCTAAAAAAGTACTGCAAAGCGGGTGGTTCAAATGACAGAAGTTAATTTTCTCACAGGTCTGGAGACTAGACATTCAAAATCAAGGTGCGGGCAGGGTTAGTTCCTTCTGAGGACTGTGAGGCTGAGTCTGTTCCATGTCCCTCTCCGAGCTTCTGGCAGTGGTTGCCTCAAACATTTGTTGGATGGCAGGTGGCATCTTCCTTGTATCCTCACATCATCTTATCCCTGTGTACGTCTGTCTCTGTGTTCAAATTTCCGCTCCTTGTAAACAGAAACATCATATTGAATTAGCACCCACCTCAGTGACCTCATTTTAACTTGATTTTTGTCTGTAGCAACTTTATTTCCAAATAAGTTCACATTCTGAGCTACTCGTGGTTAAGACTTCAACATATATTTCGGAGACATACAGTTCAACTCATGATAGCCTCTACATGAAATTTTAATAACTTAGATATATTCTATGTTTGTTTATGTACTGCATTTATATCTGTCTGCACTTTATACATAGGAAGGGTATATATAAAACTTGTTCTTTTTATTCAGTGCAGAGTTAAGGATGACTAAATAAAAATACTTAGGTAAAAGCTAACTTAAGAAACTTAAAGCTAGTCAAAATCACTTGAATTTTTAACTGTACTTATTGGGTGTGGTACACAGACGGTAAGATGACTCCCAGTTATCCCACCCTTATGTAACTCAGTTGTGTGTGACATGCTTCTATCTGATATAATATGGCCAAAGTGATGGGCTGTCATCACCTTGAGTGTGTTAAGTTGTATAAGATCCATCACGCTAGAGTTTTTCTTGCTTCTGAACTTAAAGAAGCAAGGAGCCATGTTGCACACTGCCTGTGAGAAGGCCCACATGGCAAGGAACTGAGGGAAGCCCCTAGAAGTTGAGGGTCCTAGTCCTACAACCACAAAGACCTGAATTCTGCCAACAGCCTGAGTGAACTTAGAATAAACACTTCCCCAGTCAAACCCCCAGATAAGACCACAGTCTAGCTGGCACCTTGAGTGGAGCTTGCTGAGCCCCTGAATCAGAGAACCCAGCTAAGTGATATCTGAAGTACAGATTGACAGAAGCTGTGAAATAATTAATACATGTTGTTTTCAGCCACCAAGTTTGTGGCCATTTGTTATTCAGTGATAGAAAATGAATACACTGAGTAAGATTGCAAAACCATTCAAAATAAAGTCCTCCATTGTTTTGTAGAACTTATTTGTTTATAAGGTGTACAACTGGATTTTTTTTCACATTTTATTTTAGTTTTAATTGACAAATAATAATTGTATATATTTATGTGGTATAATGTGATATCCTTATACATGTATATACAGTGAAATGATCAGGCTAATTAATATATCCATCACCTCACATACTTTTCACATGTTTTTTAATCAGGCTAATTAATATATCTATCATCTCACATACTTATCCCCTGTTTGTGGTAAGAACATTTAAAATCTACTCTTTTAGCAATTTTGAAGTATACATGAACTACAGTCACCATTCTGTGCAATAGATCACCAGAACCTATCCCTCATGTCTAACTACAACGTTATAGACTTTGACCAGCATCTCCCATTTCCTTGTCCAACTCCCCACCACCCTAGACCCTGGTAACCACATTCTATTCCTTACTTCTTTGAGTTAGCCTTTTTGCATTCCACATATAATTTGCAGTATTTGTCTTTCTGTGCCTGGCTTATTTCACACCATAATATTCATGGTGTTATAAATGACAGAATTTTCTGCTTTTTAAAGGCTAAGTAGTATTCCTCTGTGTGTGTGTGTGTGTGTGTGTGTGTGTGTGTAATCACAATTTTATTAATTTATACATTGATGGACACTTCTGTTGTTTCTCTATTTTGGCTATCATGAATAACACTGCAATTTTGGAGAACTCATCTTGTGGACAGTTTGTGTATCTGCCATGAACTCAATGTCAGTGCAGTTTGTGTGATACCCAAGGACACATGAGAAGAGCAATTAAGTATTAAGGAATAAGATTTTGTTGGATAGGATTAAGCATCGACAAACAAACCATTGTAATAGCTAAGATATTCCTACACTCCAAAAAGCAATTGTCGCCTTTTACGGAAAATAGCCACTTCATTGAGCATGCAGGCCTCAGTGTTTACTCTGAAGAGGTGAATGAGTGGCCTTTCACACAATAGAAGGCTTGGTATGGGAGGGAGCTGCTTGCCTCCATATGCAAGTCACTCTCTGAACTTAATATGTTGGTTATCAACACACTGTCCTTCACTTGGGGCTGTATCCCTGATACTGAGACAATTTAAAAAAAAATATGACCCAAATTCTATTTTGCATTTTCTCACTTAATAAAAATACATTCATATATTCATTTAAAATATGTTTATATAGTGCCTCATATATTGCAGGCCATCCTCATATCCCGATACGGAAGGAAAGTGCCATTCTTCTATTTGTGCACTGGTCCCTTTCCCTTCATCTCACATGGCACCCAGCACTGTAATTTTTATATGACTGGTACCATCACATGATGCTGAAATTAAGCTATCATATTGAGATCCCACCTTAACCTACAACCAGACCCTCAGAGCATCTTGAGTCAGACAGAGAACATGAGAGGTGATTCCAAGTTTCTTTCCAGGAACTTCAGATGAAGAGTTCCAGGTGAACCAGCCTCAGACTTTAGTGTCAGTCAACCCTGGAGATGTCCTAACTCTGGCCTGCAACATGTCTGCTCTGTCCCCATCAGGGCCTGTCTTGTGGTTCAAGAGCACTGGGCCAGAACAACAATTAATCTATAGTTTCAATGGAAGCCACTTCCCCAGAGTAACTCCAGTGGAAAACACAACAGTCGATCAAACTGACTATTCCATTCGCATCAGTGACGTGTTGCCGGAAGATGCTGGCACCTACTACTGTGTGAAGTTAAGGATAGGACACCCTGACATGGAGTTTTTCTCTGGCCCAGGCACCATCGTGTATGTGAATGGTAAGCACAACCTGATGCACTTTATTCCCTGGGTTTGTGAAGATGAATCTTTAAAACCTGTGCCAAATATTCAATCAAGCTATGCTGACAAGCCACATCCTTCTCTGATGCCAACCCCACCGGAACCAAATGACATAGGAGACACAAATAAAAAGATACTGGGTATGCAAGATGCAACTACATGTGTACACTGTATGGTCCAAATGGTAAGAAAACTGGGCCCTAGAAGGCTGACGACTGACTTCTAAGCTTTTAGGAAGAAGCCTGGGCCCAGGTATAAGCATTGTGTATATCATGACTTATTTCATGACCCTAAACTTCCAGTCACAGATGCTTGCAGCCACATCTTAGCTTCTGACAGAATCTCAACATCACAGGTGATGTTTGCCCCCGAATGCCCAGTATCTCCTGGGCCAAAACAAAGGGCTCCTCAGGCAGGCAGAATCTCTACATGCCTCCATGATCCCCCTCACCCTCCCATTACCAACTGGAATGTGATTGGGGCCTGATAGCAAGTACCTAAGTGGTCACCACAGTACGGTCTGAGATCACATTCCCATTGCCCACACGAATCAGTGAGTGGATGTGGTCTCCTACCATGGCCTGGCACTGCTGTTGGGGAATTCTGAGACCGGAAGGAGGGATCTTACGTATCACTCTCTCCAAATCCTTGTTTGCAGAAAGCCTGCCCAGGGGGGTGGAGTCATTCCCTGACACTTGAGCTTTCCCAGGTCTGCCCTGAGACTTCCACGCCTGGCCCCACTGTTCTTTTATTCCCAGTATTTTTATTCCCAGGATAACCAGTATTTCCTTAGCCTCACCACCCTCTGAATTAACTTCATGAAATACAGTGATATTAGGTGTCCCTCCTGTTCTTCCCGGAGAACTGACCTTCCCAGTAATGTTTCCTTTGAATCCAGACACATTCCATAGTGCCCAAATGGCTATGGAAAATCCACAGCTTTCCCTTAAGTTACATAATGTCAGTGCAAGCTGCCTTCCTACCACTACCTTCTGGCCTTGCCAGCCAGGAGTTCCCTTTCTCTCTAACCTGCTCTTTAGGCAGTCTGTGGTTTTGATGACCAAGCTTAACAGGAGAGATTATTACCAGGACCTGACACATTGTAGGGTAGGGATGATGACTGTGTAGGAGAGTAAAGGGGGGTCAGTGAGGCTCTCCAAAATTGTAGAGGGTCCTTGAAGTTCTAATCTCTTTTGGTTGAGGAGAGGAAACTCTCTCTTCTTTCTCTCCTCTTGAAGAGATAAACAGTGGAACCATATGCTGTTGCCATGACCACCTCATTCTTTAATTGTTTTATCTCTTAATTTCTACTTCTCCAAATCCTTCAGCATGAATTTCTCCACAAAATCACAGGGTGATCACCCTTCAGAGGAGAGAGGAAGGCCAATCCTAAACTCAGATGTAGGGTGGGATGACAGGACTGGAACCCAGTTCCAAATGTATCAAGTGACTCCAGGCAATTAGACGGATAGGGGGACTAGTCTTTCTCCATGAACATTACCCATTGATAATTCCCACCTTCTCCCTCCCTGTCCTCTTACCATGGTTGAGGGCTGAGAAATGGAACTGAGAAGGAATATATCTGGTCTTCTGGACTGACTCCCCTCCTTCAGCACTCTGGGGAGAAGCTGCCTCCATATGCAAAGGCCTCTCTTTACTCAGTGAAAGGGCATTTGTGCATGCCATTAAAAGAATTAATGAATGAGCCCCAACCATGACCTGTACCTATGCCTAAGCCACAGCAGGGGAAATGAGAAATGATTTTCAGTTTCTTTCCAGGAGCCACACGTGTGTTCCATGTGCAACAAGCTGAGATATCACAGACTGCATTAACTGGGGAGTCAATCACCTTGAGTTGCAGCGTACCAGAAACCTTACCAGATGGACCTGTCTTGTGGTTCAAGGGAACAGGGCCAGACCGGAAATTAATCTACAATTTCAAACAAGGTCACTTTCCCAGAGTAAACGAGATTGGAGACACCACCAGGCCTGGCAACACAGACTTTTCCATCCGCATCCACGAAATCTCTCTTGCAGATGCTGGCACCTATTACTGCGTGAAGTTCATAAAAGGGAAACCTATCAAGGAGTACCAATCAGGTCAGGGAACTCAGGTGTTTGTTACTGGTGAGTATGTCTCCTATACCCCATGCCCCCTGGTATATGAAATCACCTCAGCAGTTATGTCTTCTTTTCATTCAATAATTGCTATATGCGAAATATTATCGAAGATACAACATACATTTGATCTTTTTAATTCTGTCAGCAAGCTATGCATTAGATATTTTACAGGAAGAAAAAACTGAAAAGGGTTGAGTGATGAAAGCTATTTTGGTTGATTTCTCAATATTTAATACACCCTCAATGACTAACCTAAGCCAACTAGGATAATTCCATGTCCCCTGCTAGAGGCTTACTCAAATATGGGGTGAACTTGGCCAGTCTGGGTCTATAAGAGAAAAAGACAGGCTTGCAGAGAAATCTGGGTATCTAAAGTAATTCTTCCCCTTGTTGGCTGGAAACAAGCAATTGTGAATCTCCAGGTGCTTTAGGCAGACATCTTAAGACCATGAGTGGAACCAAGACAAAAAAAAGTCTACATGAGTGCAGATATGTAACAAGTGTGGGTTGACAATATGCACACCCATACTGCTCCTCTTTCTAACCTCACCTCTGGACTTCCAATAATGTGAAAGAAAACATCTCCTTGCTAAGCCAATTTCCTTAAGTCAACAATGTCCTAAGAGCTACCAGAATGATAAAGGTCACACATTACACAATGTGTTGAATTGCAAGTACAAATCAATGTTTTCTGCATCCAAAGCCTTTTTCTTGGTGTTCTGCTTCTTGTGGTGCCCTAAGAACTTTGAGCAATGTCCAGCCTGAGAAATTATTAAATTGGTGGTACAATAAGGCTAACATTTATTGGGCATCTACTACATTCCAAACACTTTATCATCTATACTATCTACACAGCAGCATTTGAATTGCTGGATGCTTGTACTCACTGTACAGATGAGGAAACTAGTTCAGGGAGATTCAGGAGTTGGAAATCTACATAGCAGGGAATAGAGAGGTAAGGTTTGTCTGGGCCCAGTCCAGTATGCTCTATATTAGTGAAGAACATTTACTCACAAGAGATAAGATCAAATGAATTAATTTAAACCAAAAATATGAGTTGATTGATTCTGTAGCTACAGAGGATTCTGGATTCCTCACAGTAGTCAAGGCAGAACTTTAGGAACCAGAGATTAAAGAATTGGATTAGGGCTTAGTGTTACCAAGACTGTCACTCATTGAAATTCTCTCAACTCTACATGGCTTTGTTCTTTCCTGCTGCATATAGACCTTCACTATATGGTAGGGAAGATAAATGCAGAAAGCGTTGATATTCATTCCCCATCTTAGCAACCAAGGTGGAAACGGAGCTTCTTCCTACCAACCTTCACAAATGAATTCTAGGGAACTAGCCACATTAGCCTTTCCTATTCCATGTTCTCAACATTTTATTCATTGTTGCTAGGAAGAGGAGGTGCTATAGGAGATAGCAATCAACCCATTGGAACAAATGCTAAGCAGGTTGAAAACACCACACCCTACCTTATCAGATGAGGAGGTTGAGCCTCTGAGAGGTTAATGGGCTTGTCTTCCAGGTTACAGACACTGGAACTCAGAGAGACTCTTCTCAGAATTCTTTGGGTTTATGATTTTGCCTCTTTCTTAATAAGAAGTCTCTAGTTAGAGTGGAGGTGTAGGAATGCATGACAGCTCTTTAGAGAGAGAATACTGGGAGAATACTGTGAAGGAGTTCGATATCCTTATTAACATTCAAATGTTCTGAGTCAGAAATGTACCAAATTTATGCCGTTTCTAAATAAACAATAATATATACATAAATTTTTTAAATACTGAGCTATGTATTAGTTTCTCATAGTTTGTGTAACTAATGGACACAAATTTGCTGGCTTGAAACAACAGAAATAGACCATTATGGGTGACATAACAGCACAAGGAGTTCCAAGGATCCACTCCATGGAAACTGGCGAAAATTATTAAAAAAAAATATTTAGACTATCTGGAAAGAGTAGTAAGGGCATATCATAAATGAAAAAGTAATTTTTAAACTACTAAAACTGGGGGGAAAAGTAAAAGTCTGGTATTTGAACCAAACCACCCCTTTTCCCTGTCCAAGGCTATACCCCATGGCAAAGAAGAGGAATCAACTTCACCAAAATAATCCATCCAGTCACTCAACAACTGAGCAAGAAGATGACAATAACAAGCCGTGGTGGTTGTAAGGGAGACCAATATCCAGAGTTTCTACAATATATATCCAGGGTTTCAAAAAAAAGTGAGACATGCAATAGAACAGAGAAGTATGATACATATACCAAAAACAAACCAAAACAAAAAGATATCAGAAACTACTTGTTAAGAACACCAGATGTCAAACTTAACAGGCAATGCCTTTGATGTAACCATCACAAATATGTTCAAAGAAACATAATTAAACAAACCATGATTAAATAAGTACATGAAAGTAAGATGATAATGTTACATCAAATAGAGCATATCAATAAAGAGATACAAATGATTTAAAAGAACCAAATGGAAATTTTTTCACTCATTAACAATTGAAAGAAAAATTGTCCTACAGAGATTAACAGAAGATTTTGAAGAAGAAGATTTAGCAAATTTAAAAATAGAATAATATAAATTAGACAATCTGAAGAACAGAGAAAAATAAAATGAAAATAACATTTAAAAAATGAACAGAACCTCAGAGAAATGTAGATCATCATTAAGCATACCACATACATGTAACAGGGGTAGCAGAAAGAGAGAAGAAAGAGAAAACAGCAGAAAAATATTCAAAGAAAGAATAGCTGAAAACTTCCTAAGTTTGTTTGAGAATATATGGGTACAAGGAGGGAAACATTAATACTGGGGCCTGTCAAGAGATGGGGGGCTAAGGGAGGGACAGCATTAGGAGAAATACCTAATGTAGATGATGAGTTGATGGGTGCACCAAGCTACTGTAAAACATGTATAACTATGCAACAAACTTGCACGTTCTGCACATATATCCCAAAACTTAAAGTATAATTTGTAAAAATTGCTTTTTAAAATAATTCCATTTATATGACATACCCAGAATAGGCAAATCTATAGAGACAGAAAGTAGATTAGAGACAGAACATTTCTTATGATTTGGGGGATGGAGGAAAGATGGGGAAAATGGAGGTTATTAGATGAATGGCATGGAGTGTGTTTTTGTTTTTTTTTTTTTTTTGAGATGATGAAGATGTTCAAAATGATTGTGGTGATGGTTGCACATATCTACAAATAAATATCTGCAAATATTGAATTATATATTTTAAATGTGTGAATTGTATGGTATGTGACTTACATCTCAATAAAGTTGTTTAAAAACCAAATTTATTCTCTCACAGTTCTAGAGGCCAGAAGTCTGAAATCAGTATCTCTTGACTCAAATTGAAGCATCAGCAGAACTGCTCCTTCTGGAGGTTCTAGGGTAAAGCACATTCCCTTTCTTTTTTGACTTCTGGTTGCTGCCAGCACCCCTAGCCAGCAGCATTGCTTAAACCTTCAAGGCAAGCATCTTTAAATCTCTTTGTGTTCCATATTCACATTGCCTTCTCATCTCTGTGTGTGAAATGTCTCTCTTATAAGAATATATGTGATTGCATTTAGGGCCCACCCTGATAATCCAGAACAACCTCACCATCTCCAGATCTTTAATCACATCTGCAAAAACTTTGCCTTGTGACATTCACAGATCCCAAGAATGCAATCTTTCATCTTTGGGCTTGTGGGGCCATTTATAGCCTATCCCTAAGCAAAAAAAAAAAAAATCTAAGTAAGGGCTTCTGTCCTTCTAAATTGATACTCTTGAGATATTTGCCTCTCATGAACACAATAGCTGCTGGGACCTAAATGCAAATGAGTTAAAGTGAAAAGATTATCTTGGGGTTCCCAGCATGAAGATCTCCTGTTGGGATTTATTCTCCGTTGTTCAGGGGAAAATTGTAAACAATATCAAAGTCAAGGTGCCTACCCTGAAATGTGGCATATAGGTAAGTAAGGGAACTTAGCTTTTGGTAAAATGTAGACCCATGGGAAAAGAACCACACGATTCCTTATTCCCAAAAGTGCAGAAGGAGCCAAGTGGATGGCACAGCTTTTTCTGCCCTTGAAACACAAACAGTACAGGAAAAAGAGAAATGAAGAGGTTCTCTCCAGCTGACTTTATAAGAAATAATTGCCTGCCTACCTTTATATCCCAGTTCCCTCATGGAGAGACATTCCCTTGCCTTTCTCCACCTGTGGGATATCTGCTGTTAAATAAGCTCCAGTGATCATAGGTAGGTTCTAATAATCTCACAAAGGAAAATTACAACACAAATAAGTGGACAGAGAAGCAAGAGATCAGGCTTTTATGGGTGTGTGTGTATATATATATACATATATATGTGTGTGTATATATATATGTGTATATGTGTGTGTGTATACACACACATACACACACACACACATATATATATATATATTATATATATATATATATATAATATATATATTACTCAGTCACAAAAAGGAATGAAATAATGGCATTCACAGCGACCTGGATGGAATTGGAGACTATTATTCTAAGGGAAATAACTCAAGAATGGAAAACCAGACATCATACGTTCTCACTCATGTGAGAATGAGCTTATGTGGGAGCTTAGCTATGAGGATGCAAAGGCATAAGAATGATACATTGGACCTTGGGAACTTTGGGGAAAGGATGGGGGGTGGCGGGGGATAAAAGACTGCACACATTGGGTACAGTGTAACTGCTCAGGTGATGGATATACTCATATCTCAGAAATCATCACTAAAGAACTTATTCATGTAACCAAACACCACCTCTTCCCTCAAAACCTATTGAAATAAAAAAAAATTAAGAACTTTAGTAATTTAAAAACTTCAGCAGAGGGTAAAAAAGGAGAGAAAGAGGGCTAAAGAATGGCCAGTGTAAATAGAAATCAAATACAAGCAAGATAAGGTTAAGCCTAAATATCTTTGTACTTCTAGTAAATGCAAGTGGAAACATGCTCTCATTAAAATATAAAGACTGTCGGACTAGACAAAATAAAACATAATTTATGCACACTTCAAGTACTTTCAGAAAACAGTATAATATAATAATTCAGAAAGATTGACAAGAAAATAAACAGAAAAGGTACAACATGCAAAAGAAAGCTCACGTTGTTATATTGACACGTCTATATAAAACATAGACGTTAAGGCAAAAATTATTATACAAACTTAAAATGCAGCATTTCATAAGAATAAGAGGTTTAAGTCATCAGGAAGTTATAACAATCCTAATGTGCATCCATTTACTAATAAAGCCTCAAAATATGCAAAATGACACAAATAAAAAAATAGAGAAATTCATAGTTATGCTACCAGCTTCTTAACAAACCTGAATTTGTCATTGATGCTGCATAACAAATTACCCAAAACTTAGTAATTTCAAACAACAAACGCTTATTGTCTCACAGTGTATGTGGGTCAGAATTCTAGACAAGGCTTAGGTTGAGTGAACCTTGGTTTAAGATCTCTTACAAGGCTGCAATCAAGGTGTCTGCCAAGAATGCGATAATCCAAAGTCTCAGCTGGAGAAGAATCCACTTCAAGCTCACTCCCATGGCTATTGGCAGGCCTCAGATCCTTGCTGGCAACTGGCTGAAGACATCAGCTATCTTCTACATGGGCTTCTCCATAGGACAGCTCACAACATGGCAACTGCTTCTCCTCAAGAAGCAGGAGAGAGGGGAAGAAGAAGATACAAGTCACAGTCTCTTTATAAGCTTATTTCAGAAGTGACATACTGTTACTTTTACTTTTTTATTAGATGTGAGTCACTAAATCTAGGGGAGGGGATAACATAGTGGTATGAATGCCAGGAGGTGGAGATCATCTTAAAGGCTACCTACCACAGCACCTCTCTCAGTAACTAGGAGGACAAGCAGACAAAATGTCAGCAAGGATACAAAAGATTTGATCAATGTGATTAACAAAGTTGATGTAATTGGCATATATAGAGCACTGCACCCAACAACTGAAAAACACATATCCTTTTCAAGTCTATATGAAATGTTAACTAAAATTAATCATGTTCTCAGTCAAGAAGCAAGCCTCAACAAATTTTGAAATACTGAAATTTGTATGTTTTCTGATCATAATGGAATTAAACTGTAAATATTTACAAAAAGATAATTAGAAAATCCTCATATGTTATGAATTTGGGAAGTAATCTAAATAACCTATTTATCGAAAGAATTTACAACAGATACTAGAAAATACTTTGAACTAAATTATAAACTGTATGTTAAATTTGAGGCATGTAGTTACTGCTGTACTTGGAATTTATAGCCTTAAATCTCTATATTAGAAAAATAAAAATGATTGAAGCATAGTAATAAAAGCATCCATTACAATAATTTAATAAAGCAATTACAAAGGTTTTAGTTTTAGTGTGGTCAAAAATTCAACCTTTTCCTTCATGGTTATAGCTTTCAGTGCTTAAGAAATCTAGCCTTAACCTCTTAAATCCTGAAGGCATACCCTTACATAACTTATAGTTAAGCTTCATGGTTTTGCCTTTCACATCATTTGATATTCTTTTTTATTTTTTGAGATGGTGTCTTGCTTTTTCACCCAGGCCCGAGTGCAGCGGCACAGTCTTAGCTCACTGCAGCCTTGACCTCTGGAGATCAAGTGATCCTCTCACTTCAGTCTCCCCAATAGCTGAACTACAGGCCCATGCCACCACACCTGGCTAATTTTTGAATTTTTTGTAGAGATGTGGTTTTGCCATGTTGCCCAGGCTGATTTTCTAACATTAATTCAACTTTTTATTCCTGAAATGAAACCATTCTGGTGATAGTATATTATTCAATTTGCTAAAGTTTGTCTGGAACTTTTGAACATTATCTTACAGAAGTAAGATAATAATCTATATGTTTTTTTCTTTATATTATCCTTGTTGGAATTTTGTTGTTGAAGTTATGCTAGCTTCAAAAAAATGAGTTGGGAAATGTATCCTCTTTTTCAATTTTTTAGAAAATATTACATAAGATAAAGTTTATTTATTACATAAATGTTTGGCAGATCTTTCCAGTGAAGTCATTTAGATCTAGAATTTTTGTTATAAGAACATTTTTTAAATTACTGATTCAGTTTTTTTAATAATTTTGATAGTGCTCAGGTTTCTTATTTCTTGTTATTTGCTTTTGATAAGTTACATTTTTCCAGATAGTTTTTTACTTTTTCTAAACTTTATATTTTATATTGGCAAAAGCTATTCAGGATATCCAATTTTAATCATTTTAATGTCTGCAAGATTTATAGTAATGTCCCTTTTGCACACCTGTGATTGTATCTCTCCCTCTCTTTCTCTTTCTTATTATTTTATTTCCTCTCTTTTCATTTTCACCAGAGGATTATATATTTTCAAAGAAACCATTTTTGTTTTGTTGATCCTCTATATTTTATGCTTGCTTTTTGTTTCATTTGTGTTATCTTGTATGTATTATTTTCTTTCCTCTACTATTTACTGCTTAATTTTACATTTTGTTTATGTTTCTCATCATATATAATTTTATCCTCATTGCAGTTACCTTTATAAATCCTTAAAGTCAACTTTACAAATCTCAAGGAGTTGTGGTTTTAGGATCTTGCCTTAAAGTCCTTTCCCACCTGAAAGACATATAGATATTCCCTTATTTTTTTCTTCTTATCGTTTCATTAAATTTTAGATTTAAGAATGGTCTATTTGGAATTTATTTCTGTGTTCAGTCAAATATAATAATTTTAAAATGTTTATTCATAAAAATACAGTTGTCTCTATCTAGTTGACTAGCTCACTTTTTTCACTGATCCCCAAATTCCCATGCATATGTGGGTTTTCCAATCCATCAGATTTTAGTGAGCAGATTCACTTAAGTTTTCTCTGTAAGTTTACATTATATTTTTTCTTCTCAATTATTATTTATTCATGGCTTTTTGTTTCATTACTTAAGCCATAATCTCCTGTACATCATTGAATAGATACAATGAAAGTAGGTATCCTGTTGTTGCTGATTCTAAAGGACATTCTTGTAAAGTTGCATTAAAAATATTTTGTTATAGGATTTTTGGTAGATAGGCATCAGGCTAAGAACATTTCCTTCTATTCCTTGTCTAACCCTTATTAAGTGAAAATGGGTAAGTAGGAGTA